TCATTTATGTAGAGTATGAAAAGAGTTGGTCCTAGAACACTGCCTTGGGGGACACCACTGTTGACAGGTAACTCCTGCCAAGTCCGGTCACTCCCTTCCAAACTCCAGCTACTTGGCCTTGGATTCAGGCAAAAGAATGTTGTTGTGGCTATCCTCCCTTCTCACTTTACTCTCATTCCCACGGTTACCCATCCTCCCTTGTGGCGACCCCAAATTCGATTCAAGATGGATGGGTGCTGAGAGGGGAGATGGGAGTTAAAGACTTACATTTCTGTTTCTAATGCACTTCAGTATCACTAACATCTTATTACTAAAATCAGTGGAAAACAAGAGGCTCTCCTAATGATCCCTATGAGGAAGATAGATTATGCATGTTCTATTGATTCGACACACAGGGCAAGCAAAATTAAAAAGAAGTCCTTAGGTTACAGTAGAAACTGGGACTAAAATTTCCATTTCTAGGTCATGTCATAAACAGTGATGTCATGTGATCACATTGTTTAGTGACAGCAATCATGGTAGTCCCAGTTGCTGTCAGTAAGCAAAGGCCACATGGGTCATTAAGTAGGGATCACACATGTTACAACATAAAAAGAGGCATTGAAAGTTTTGTTTTAGTTTACTTTATTGTCATTGCACCTTGTACAACAAAATCAAACACCATCTTCAGTGCACATCATGACCATGAAAATAAACACAAACACACATCCTTCACCCTCCACACATTGAACTGAAAACCCCCAACACCACACCAACACTGCACTGTACAGCAGAATTCAAAAAAGCTACTGCCCTGGGATAGAAGCTGTTTTTCAGCCTATTTGTTCTTGTTTTTATTATTCTGTACCGTCTGCCAGATGGTAATAGTTCAAAAAAAGGGTTCCCAGGATGAGATGGATCTTTGAGAATGTTTTGAACTTTCTTAAGGCAGCGGGAGCTATAAAGCTCTTCCAAAAAGGGGATAGGGCAACCAATGATCTTCTGGGCAATGACGTTAACTCTCTGGAGTGCTTTCTTATCTGCCACTGTGCAATTGGCAAACCATACAGAGGTGCAGTATGTTAAAATGCTCTCTATGGTGCAGCGGTAGAAGGTCACCAGCAGTTTTTCATTCAGTTGTTTTCTGAGAAGTCTCAGGTAGTATAATCTCTGCTGGGCCCTTTTGAATAGTGCTGCAATGTGAGCACCCTAGGTCAGGTCCTCTTTTATGATAACACCCAGAAACTTAAAACTGGCCACTTGCTCCACTCGGTCTCCATTGATAAGCAAGGGCTGGATGTCTGATCTGTTCCTTCTATAATCCACTATAAGCTCCTTGGTCTTATTGGTGTTGAGGAACAAGTTATTGTCTCCACACCACGAAAGCAACCGGTCCACCTCATCTCGGTAGGCAGACTCATCCTCCCCAGAGATAAGTCCCACCACTATTGTATCATCTGCAAATTTAGCAATAGTATTACTAGCGTGAATGGGAATGCAGTCATGCACATAAAGAGTATAGAGTAAGGGACTCAACACACAACCCTGTGGTGTACCAGTGTTAAGAATAAGGGTGGTGTGATTACCTAATCTGACCCTCTGTGAGTGGCCAGACAGGAAATCTATAATCCAAAGGCAGATTGAATTAGAAAGCCCAAGGTCTAGAAGTTTAGACTTCTGGAGGAATTCTGTGGAAGAATTGTGTTAAACGCAGAACTAAAATCCACAAAAAGCATATTCACATACCCCCCATACTGTTCTAGATGAGTCAGAGCAGTGTGAAGAGTGATGGCTATAGCGTCCTCTGTAGATCTATTTTTTCTGTATGCAAACTGGTGTTTATCAAGTGTATGCGGAAGACCAGAAATAATGTGCCGGCAGACCAATTCCTCAAAGCACTTCATGATGATAGGAGTGAGTGCCACTGGTCTGTAATCATTGAGGTTATTGATTGGGAACTTCTTTGGCAACGGAACAATGGTGGAAGCCTTCAAACAAGATGGAATAGTGGACTGGGATAAAGACCGATTGAAGATCCTGGTAAAGACTCCAGCCAACTGTTCAGCACAGTCTTTAAGCACTCAGCCAGAGATACCATCAGGACAGGCAGCCTTTCTAGGGTCCACAGCCCTCAGAATGCTCTTCACCTCCTGTTCCTCCACAATGAGGTGAGGGCTACAATTGGCTGGTGGTTGTATTTTATCTGTCTCTGATATCTCCACTTCAAAGCGAGCAAAGAAATGATTCAGTTCCTCTGCCAATGAAGCATCCCCCTCAGCAGGGATGACATTGGTCAGTTGATGGTTTGTAATTTGTTGAATCCCTCGCCACATCTGCCTCATGTTATTGCTATAAAAATTATCCTCAGTCTTCCTCTTATAATCAGTCTTGGCCTTCCAAATACCTTTCTTCAGATTAGCTCTGGCAGCACTGTATCTTGCCCCATCACCGGACCTAAAAGCCTTGGTCCTGTCACACAAGAGGCACTGGACTTCCTTGGTCATCCAGGGTTTCTGATTGGGATAGATCCTAATACGTTTATCCACAGTGATAGTATCTGTGCAGTGCTTGATATAGCACAGAACAGTTGCAGTGAGCACCTCTAGGTCAGGGTGGTAAAAGATGTCCCAATATGTGTTTTCAAAACAATCCTGAAGTTGTTGGGAAGCATCTTCTGGCCAAGATTTCACTGTCTTTTTTATAGGCAGAGCCCGTCTCCTAAGAGGGATGTACGCTGGTGCTAAAAGCAGTGACATATGGTCTGATTGTCCCGAATGTGGTAATTGTATAACCTTAGAGCCATGTTTGATGTTGGTATATACTTTGTCCAATAAGTTTGCTCCTCTAATAGCACACTTAACATGCTGATAGAATTTCGGGAGCACTGCTTCTAAATCAGCTTGATTAGATTCCCCCGCTATGAAATGCACAGCATCAGGATACTTATTCTGCTGATTACTAACAATGTTATACAAGAATCCCAAAGCTCTGGTAGTATTGGCATCAGGTGGGATTCTTGTATAACATTGTGATGGGTATATGCCATGGGTCACCACTGTGGAATATGAGCAAGTGGGTGCTACAGAGTGTAAGCAGGCACTATGGAATATGAGATCCCCATGCTATCCATGGAATTCTCAGGAGAAAAATCAGTGGGAACAGAATCAACTTGCAACCTCCTGCATCCCCCACTCTTCCTCATTGACTTTGCTTGTGGGAAGCCAGATGGTGGGAAGATCACGGATGGTGGTCATGCAACTGTGGGAAAGTGCAAACATTGTGACTGCAAGCTTGTTGCCAATACTGGAATCGTAATCACATTCCACAGGCATGCTGCAGTGTACAGAATTTCGAAGATTGGTCATAAATCCCCTTCATTCAACCCCATTGTGACTTGGAACAATCCCTGAATCAGCGGTCATAATTTGAAGACTACCTGTACCAGTATATATTCATGGAGAACATGCATTTAATGCAGAAGCTCCAGTCTTAGCACCTCTCAAATAAAAGGACTGGAAAAGGCTTCTGGATCAACACTAGAGATCTATTTCCATTTCAAGTTAGATGTTTCTGTATAAGATTGCCCAAAGACCTTGCTTGGCATTAAATCTTTTGAGATTGCTAAAATCTTGGAAAACTTAACAATTTGTATGAAATTTTAAACAACTTTAAAGGATGGCTATCATACAGTGTTGTCTTGGAACTTTCTGAACTCTGAATAAAGGGTTGAAAACAAGAAAGAGGGGAGACAAATACGCCAGTACTGCACTATTGTTGCATTCCTGGTACCAGATATGCCAAAAGTGAATAACTGATCCCTATAAAAAGATTGATCCACCTGCTTTATCTATATTGGTGCCCCCCAGAGAGTGTGCATATCAATTTCCAATTGTCCCTGAACTCAGCAAAATAATTGTTTATTACTTAGAGGAATTTATCCAGCAGAACTTGTATGTACATACCAAGGTACTCTAACATATGCAATTTTATCATTTTATGCTGGGCTGGAGATGGGGTGGGATTGAATATAGAAGTAATTTTTAAGTTGAAGAATATAAGAGAAGCATTTAGTTTCAGGAAGCTCTTAGACTTGAATTTGACCTTATTCAGAGAAAGTTAAAAGAAAAAAAATGGAAATAAATAAAATAGAACTATTTGAGGAAATTTGGGCAGAATGTTCAAGTCTTCCTTCATTCTTCCTCCAGCTATGGTTACAAAAGGACTAATTCATTACAAATAACAGATTTTACCAATTTACCGCATATCTGCAAAGTGTCCAAAATTCGTGACGCTTTAATTCCAAATATGGAAGCAACTAGTTGACTTTCTTATAACAGCAAAGAGATGTCCTGAAAATCCTGGAACTAATTCTACATTACAGCCCAAAACATATGTTATGAACATGTTCTTATCCACCAAGAGTTAAACTGGATATTATGAAGACTTTACTTGCTGGGATATAATCAAGAGAATATACTGCTTATTGTGAAGGAAAAAATCATTCTAATCCATGCAGATAACTTTATGAATTTCAGAATTTCAATGGTGGCAGCAGTAGGATAAGCCCAGTATGAGTTAGGATTTCATCTTTAGAATTGCATCTACAATAGCAAAACAATCTTAACCACCTGTTCAGAATATTTTCTGAGATGCTAAATATTTACAATTAAAATTATATTTTGATTGTAAGATCAAAACACACTAATTTCAAAAAGACCTGGCATTAATCCACACAAAAAATATTAAAGAACAGTATTCTAGTTATTGGGTAAATATACCATGCCAGCTTTATCTATTTCCTTTCAACTTATTTATAAAGGAATTTATAAAGGAAAAGGAATCCCAATACTTTCAAAATGTTATTGAGTATGAAATTTCAGCTACAGCAACAGCATTCAAATCAAAGAGTTAAATACAATCTATTTAAATAAACTGCTATAAAGCACTCAGTTGCATATTTGATTGAATTTAAGTTAATTAGAATGAAATAACACATGCAATTAATACAATGTTTCTTTCAGGTCTGTTCGCTGGTTGGACAGATGTATTGCAGCACACAGCAAACCTAACCAGCAGAATTTATTCGCTATTATTCAGGGTGGGCTGGATCCTATCCTTCGAAACAAATGTCTAGAAGGTAAGGTCACTTTTATTTTGAAACTGGGCAATTCCAGCTGTTTTAAACAGCCACTAATTCAGAACAAACTACAAGGGAATTAGAATGACCTAAAAGCCTCATCTGTGATTTTGACTGTGATACAGGCTAAACTCTGAGGCTTTTCAATTATCTCCTGGCCATTTGTTTGCTAAAATGGTTTGTAAAACTTACAACAATATATAGATAATAAGCTTTAGATACACTAATGTCCTTCATCTGTCTCTTTTTCTTCCCATCACCTGCTAGAGATGACTAAACGAGATGTGCCAGGTTTTGCTATTGGAGGTCTCAGTGGTGGTGAGGCCAAAGATCACTTCTGGAGGATGGTAGCCCTCAGCACAAAACATCTCCCAAAGAACAAGCCTCGCTACCTAATGGGAGTTGGGTAGGAACAAACAAACCATATTATTAAATGGAACAAGAATGGAACAAGAATAACCACCTTTTGCAGTTGCTCACCTGATGCATGTTTCTTATCTCTGTTCTGCTCAAAGTTATGCTACTGATCTGGTGGTGTGTGTAGCCCTGGGCTGTGACATGTTTGATTGTGTCTATCCCACAAGGACAGCAGTAAGTATATGCATCAACTTGGGAGGGAGTGGCCAGTTGATGCAAAGAAACAGATTGGCATTGAAAGACTGTAAAATGAGGGGGGATTTTGTAGAGATTTTAAATACCCACCCCCTAGGGAACCAGTGTTGTTTTCAGTGATATCTCTGAAATATGTGGGCCTCTTTTCATTTCCAGCGCTTTGGTTCAGCTTTGGTCCCCTGGGGCTCCCTACAGCTGAAGAACAAGCAATATGCTAAGGATTTCCGACCCATTGATGAAAACTGTACTTGCCCTACCTGCCAGAGGTTTGTGTGCTTGGGTTGGAGTGGATTTTTAAACAAATAGGAATGGCAAAAAGAACTTAATAAAATTAAGGGAAAAATTAAATTCATATCCTCGTTTAGTCACAAAACTCAAAACATAATCTTTATCAGCTACATATGCTTTCTCAAACCAATTGATCTCAACCAGTGATATGAAGATAAATATGGTGACATCATTCTGAGTGGGATAAAAATGCAATAAAACATTTAATTTAGAATTGCCTTCAGTTTGACAATTCCAGCTACCTTGTCTAAAATTTTCTTTGACTTCTCTACGGTACACAACAATCTTTGCATTCTTCCTCTTTTATTGAGTTAATGGCCACAGAAGTGCATCTGGATTCTCCATCTTATAAAAGTACTGATATCTGAATTGTCTGATATAACTTCACTCGGCTGATACTAGGCCTATTTTCTGTATTTTACCTTGTATTGTAAAGAAACAAAAACGTTTTCGTATTATTCTCTAGCTCTTGATGTATCAAAAGGCTTCCATAAACCTCAGGTTACAAGAGGATCTCCTTTTGTGTCTTAACAGATATAGTCGAGCTTTCTTGAATGCTCTCTATCCTATTGATTCAGCTGCCAAGCACCACATTACCATCCATAATATTGCGTACCAGGTCAGTCTGTTCATAGGCCATAAAACGTCTGCTTAAATGGGCAACAGTATAGCTAACGCAGTTCATTGTAGGGACTGTGACATAGGGGTAGTGAAATAGGGATAAGCAAAAAAGTGCAGTGGTTAAAATGCTATATCGCAGGCTGACTGTGCCCACTGCCAGGAGTTCAATCCTGACCAGCTCAAAGTTGACTCAGCCTTCCATCCTTCTGAGGTCAGTAAAATGAGGACCCAGATTGTTGGGAGCAATATGTTGACTCTGTAAATCACTTAGGGATGTCAAGCACTATGAAGCAGTATGTAAGTCTAATTGCTAAGTTGGCCTTTCTATCTTTTACCATAACTTTATCAAGGTAGGTTGAAAGTTTTTTTCTCTTGCTCACTTTTTAAATTCCAAACTCTATTCTCTTAAGTTCCATGACGTTTGCCTATACAATCATAATCAACATTTTCTTAACTAATTTTGGGAAGAAAAATGGTTCTATCATTCTTATTTTTCTGTAAGAAGAGATGGAAACTATTACTCCCTATATTCCCTTTCATAACAACAAATGCATAATGTAGGATAAAGCAGGAAGCAATTATTCTGTATTTCATTTGACAGTGGAGCAATTCTTCTGTATGTACTTTTACCATTAAGGCATATGCTTTATTTATTTATATTTACTCATTATTATTTTTACAAATAACTCAAGGTGGCGAATATAGCTAATACTCCATCTTCCTATTTTCTCCACAACAGCAATCATGTAAGGGTCGATTGGACTGAGGGAGAGTGACTGGGCCAAGATCACCCAGCTGAGTTTCATACCAAAGGAGGAGCTAGAACTCACAGTCTCCTGGTTTCTAGTCTGATAATATATCACTAGACCAAACTGGCTCTATATAGATATAAGTCAGACGAGTAGGCAGTAGACATGCCAGGATGTTTCCTGTTAGAGAAAATGTGCTGTTGGGATGCTTCTTGAGCATTTCTTCTAGATCAGTGATTCTCAGTCTCACTGGCTGGGGAATTCTGGGAGCTGAAGTTTACACATCTTAAAATTGCCAAGGTTTATAGAATATGCCTTCTATTTGCATTCTTCTCCTTCAGAGAGATTGCCTAGTACATGCTATCTCCCATTTGAGCATAGCACTGGATAATCCAGCATGAGTAGCCAGTAGTAATAGAGAAAGAGATTTCTTTAGAAGCTATTGAAGATTTGAAGGATAGAGACCTCAGATTAGGCAACAAGAGCTGTCCATATAAAGCAAATGATTCTTGAAGGCCTTTATGCAAGTGCATGTGCGATGCTCATGGCAATGCTAGCACAAGTAGGGGTGAGCATGGGCACGCATATACTGGCCAGCCATTCATGCGGCCCAGTCCCATTAGGTCATGGACCACAGATTGGGGACCCCTGCTCTACAATCTCTAACTTACCTATTGGTTAGCTAGTTTAATTTATCATTGTTTATTCTTCCCATTCCCAATATTTTTATTTCTGTATAGTACCTATTCTTTTTTTCCCTTCAGATGAACCTGATGCATTCAATTCGCGAAAGTATAACTGAGCAAAAGTTTCCACAGTTTGTTCAGAATTTCATGAAGACGATGTATGGGAACTCCAGCAGCTATCCCCAGTGGGCTATGGAGGCCCTGGCCTCAGTTGAAATTAACCTGGAGTAAGACATCAAGAAACACTCTGGATCCTAGACTTTTATTGGGTTTGGTTCCCCTTTCATTGTCTGGCTCAGTCTTGCTTTCCAGAACAATTACTTGGGTAGTGATAAAACTTGAAAACTTCTTTCTTTCCAAGGAGTGGTGGACAAAAGTTGAGTTCTTTGTCTGGTAATCTATCACAATGGTCTTGTCACAGTGGTCAGAGTTTAAATTAAAGATGTCTAGAAGTTCTTTGGTGTATCTTTTTTGTAGTTCTAGCTAATATTTTAAACTTCTCATTAAATTTTCTAAAATTCATTTATCCTGGCTAAATGGTTTGTTTGAATGTGTAAAAGAACCTCAGTACATATTGTTTAAAATTTATAAGCTTAACTTTGCATTATTGACCTTGGGCTGTTGTAAAAACTTTATTTAATGATAAAGGAAAATATAAAAATAGAAGGAAGATAATAAAGAAGAGAGATGAGTACATATGTAATAGTATGCCCTGCCCTGATTTTTCTTGTTAGAGTTTTTCCAGTACAATCACTAGTTACATCTATGTGCCTTGTCCCTGATCAACATTCCAGTTTTCTTGGGGGGGGGGGGGGATATGGGGCTGGCATTGGTGAACAGCACTGACACATAGGTATAATTGTTACTGACAAGCAAGGAATTTACATAGAAAAATTGAAGCCTGAAGAGGATTATTGCTGACATCAGACACCAAACACAGAATTCTCAGCTAGCATTGCCTCCTGCTTCCTTCTTTTTTTCCTCAGAAATGCTGGGGGTATGGTATACATATTCCTTCACTGAAATTGTTTTCAAGCTGGCTATCAGGCCATGAGCATATTCGCACACAAGCAGCTACATGGCCCCTATACCTATAAAAACCAGTGTCTTGTCTAAATGTATTTGGTGCTTTACAGAAAATGGAGCCAGAGCTCTGCATATATACAAAATAAGTTTTCAAGGGAAACTGAAATACATTTCTCACATGGACCCAAACAAACAACCTGATACCACATCAGCTCATTACTACAACTCTCTGCTGCTCGAAAGGAATTGATTTGTGGGCCATGACATTATGCAGACAGGAGAAAGAAGTACAAGCATTTGACTCTTGATTTTACCAAAGACTTGTATTTGCAATCCAGAATGTGAATTAATATCAGCAAAATGGTAGAGCATTGCAAAAGAGCAATGTTTGTACTACAATGTTCCACCTACCATCTTGCTACAATTAGGATTATTTCCTAATGGCTTCTTTACTGCAATAAATCAACATCAAAAATTCTTGAATCTTTTTATTTTATACTTTGTATATTAATTACAATAAGCAAAACAAACTAATACAAACTAAAAAGTAAAAAAACTATCAAAAAGAAAAATATAAGAATAGTGGGAAAATGTTTTAATAGTGGGAAATAGATTTAATCTTCAATTCGATTCATGGTCTGGGACTAGTAATAGTTCAAGTCCTAACAAAGTACCTCAGAGCTGTTAAGGTAACATCTGAATATGCAGGCAGTTCCAAATAAAGTTGTTTTTGCAAAGTCAGAATATTTAGGTTTGTTAAGTTGAAAATTTCCATGTATCTAGGCAACCTTGGGTATTGTTCCAAGGGCTCCTACTACTACAACCATTGAGTTCTTCCTCCACAATTGCTTATTATTAATTGCAAAGTCAGCCAGATGTTTAGACTGGATTTGACTTTTTTGTCTACCTACCGAGTCCTTACCAAGGACCTAGGATAGGCAGACCTGGATGTTTGAGAGTGTTACAGATAGTGTTACAGAATGAAAGCTGTTCCAAGTAAAGCTGCCTTCTGATGGCAAATTTGTCAATGCCTAGAGTGTTCAAGTGATGCCCCAGTTGTTTTGGGACTGCACCCAAGGCGCCTCTTGCTATCATTACTACCCTTGCTTGTCTTTGTCACAGTTGTTCTATTTCTATTTGTAGATGTTTGTATTTTGTTATCTTCTCCAGCTCTTCGTTTTCTTTCTGCTTTCTCCAGGCACCGCCACATCCACTATCCCAGTCACCCAGTCACTACTTGCTTTCTTGCCCTGCCCGTCTGATGCTTGCCCCGCCCAGTCACTCCTCACCTCGCCCCGCCCAGTCACTCCTCACCTCACTGGATCCTCATGGCTTGCCTTTCTAACCTGACTTCCCACATGGTGCCTGTGCCCCAACTGAGCAGCCCTAATCTGCCTGCTCACAGGTAAGCCTGTGAGTCGTACTAGTGCTCCCCATCCTTGGAGCTTGCTGGAGCCCCGCCATTGTCCCTGGAACTTACTGCCCCCCCACCATCCCTGGAGCTTACTCCCTCCCCCACTGTCCCTGGAGGTTGCTGGGGCCTCCTCACTATCCTTGGAGCTTGCCCCCCCGCCCGTCCCTTGGCTAGCCTGGCTAGCTTTGCCACTGGTGCGGCTCCATTCTGGGCAGCAGTGCTGGCTGAGGCCTAGCTAGCTGCCCCCCCCACCACCACCCCCTGGCCTGCCTTGCTGGCTATGCCACCGGCGTGGCTCCATCCCATGAGGCGTTCTCCCAGCTCTTTCTACCACGTGGCAGCTGCTGCACAGCTGTCCGGGAAGGAGGGCGGATATCCCGGGGCTGCACATGCGGTGTGCAATTTGCAGCAGCCCCGGGACATGGCTCCAGGAGCAGCAGTGCCACCATGCAGCTGCTCATTTTCTTCCTCTTGTCCCCCAGGAGAAGGAAGAAAGCACCGCATGTGCAGCCCTGGGATATCTGCCCATCCTCCTTTTAAAAACTGCCCAGCCAGTCTGTATTCTTAGGGAACTGACGGAGTGTCAGCTTTGGAATCGTTATTAAAAGCTGCCACATAGCTGCGAAGGAATGGAGGGGGCTGATATTATTTAAGTAGCTCTCAGTAGACAAAATAAATTCTTTAGTATTCAAGGTCATTGTGAATGGCACAGGAAGAATTGGGACTGAAGGAGGATTGGTTCATGTGATGTATGATGTGGGAAAAGGGATGGTTTGTAGGTTGGGTCCTTGTGGGAAGTCTAGGGGAAACTTTAGTTTTGGAATTCCACAGAGGTGCCAAGTTTCTACTCTGATAAAAGTACTTTGAGATTATGTTTGTCTTGGAGTTATTGGTTGGAATGGATAATCTTCAGAATGCTGACACTATTCCAAAACTTATCTAACACAGCACTCCCATAAGGGGGAGAAAAAAGGGGTTGCTGAACCCAAGGATTTATTCCAGCGATGGAGAAAGCCAAAGAATCAGCCAACACAGAAGAAGAAATCTTATCTCTCCTCTGCATATCTAAATGTTTACATCATCTCCTCCAAGGGGGGGGGGGGGCGGGGGGATTCAGTTAATGCTCTGGAGCCCCCCCCCCCTTGGAGGAGATGATGTAAACATTTAGATATGCAGAGGAGAGATAAGATTTAGGAGCCCGGCCCAGATGATCCAACTCGTGGAGGAGTTATCAGATGATACTAAATAAACTGCTTGAAGAAAAATCTTTCTCAAGCCCTCTGCATACATCAAAGGAGACAGATTGGAGGTTTGAGGCCCAAATTGAATTGAAAACCTCTCAAGATGACAACCCACAGATTTATTCTAGGAGCCGATCATTAGCAGAATTACCACAACAATTCCAGCAATTAAAGATGGAAAGTTTTGCCTCAAAGCCACAACCTATCTGGCCAAGTTAGAGCCTGACACAGCCCATTTTCTCTTTCCCCAGTGTTATCGGAAGAGGAAATTACTCAAATGCCATGTGGAGAGGCCCAGCGTGACAGCCCACAGCGACGAGAGAGGCAATACAATAGGTATGTTGCAACCTCCATGTCCTCCTCCCCAACAGGCAGAAAGGAATTTACCCCTTACAGAAAGTATCCCTCCAGGGTGGGGATTTTATTCAGGCCAGGGGTGGATCCAATGCCAATAGATGCCAGCGCCAACAACACCCTGGTCCAAAAGGGAGTCAGCAATCCCTTCCCCACAAAGGGATCTGCACAGGCAGCAGACAGCAGCCACTCCCCCTCCACTCATGCAGAGAATAAAGTAACACCCACTCTCTGCATGGCAGGCACCAAATCAACCCCCACTTGGAGCAACCCTGCAGAGGCCCCTCTCCCAGAGAGACACAACCCAACCAGGCTTCAGAAGATCCTTCCAAACTAGATACATACCTCGTCAGGCTCCTTTAATTCCAGCTCAACCTGCAGGTGCCAGGCCAATACCACCTCCCCACCCACAGACCAGACCAGATACTCTTCAAAGCCACTTTTGATGGGCAACATGAACATTTTGCCTCATTCGAATCTGGTCTCACATAGACCAATTTGGAGGCCAATATGCAACAGAGCATGATCTGGTTACTGCAATAACAGATGGGATGAATGAAAGGGATGCTTCTGACTGGGTGGCCCAGTTACATCATAGTGTACTTATGCGAACCAGTCACACGTGTAGAGAGCAGCTACTGTGTAGAAAGCAGCTACTCTGTTAAAAGCAGCTACTGTGTTGAAAGCAACAGTATTGGAGGTAAAAACGACCCTACATGAATTATAATTACTTGGTAAATGTAAAATCAAGCACTGAAAAATCATCTACTACAAAAAAAAAATCTGTACCATGGGAACTTAATCTGGATGCTGATCGGTCTTTTTATATTCAGCTGTGGTTGATGTGAATACTGCTCCTTGTGATAGTGTGATGACCCGTAGTCTCTCAAAATAACCCAAAACATACATTCGGTAACGTCTTCAACTTAACTTCACTGTTTTATTAGGCACAATTTAAAGTCACAAAAGTAAATAATGAGGCAAAAAGAAAACCAAAACAAACCGCATTGACGAGAGTTCCGAAGCAAGCCAAGATAACTAATCATAAACTGCAGGAAAATAACTGAGGAGAGTCCATGGGAAGAACACCAGCAAAGATAAACCTCTTTCAAAGTAAACACTAAACTTTGACTCCAGCAATTCTAACTGCATAGTTACAAACTTATATACATAGCTCCCAGCTGCAAGCCACGAGGAG